AAGCAATGTTACACTGGCACAAACGATTTTACCAACCAAGGATTTAGCTCAGTGGCACACTGCCTGCCTGGCAAGCGTGAGGTCCAGAGTTCGAATCCCAGTACCCAAAAAAAATCATTTTACAAAAAAAAAAAAAAAAAAAAAAAAAAAAACAACTCCTTGCACTACTGGGGATCCAACCCAGGGGCTCTCTACCATTGAGCTACATCTCAGCTCTTTTTTTTATCTTGAGACAAGGTCTCACTAGGTTGCCCAGGTGAGACTCAAACTTGTGATCCTCTTGCCTCAGCTTCCAGCAGAGCTGGGATTATGAAAAATGTATTAACAGTACTATCTGACCTAGTTACCTAACAGAGGAACCTGTATTATATCGTACATTACTTGGAACACCAAGTTGATCATACAAATTACAACTATAAACAAAACTCCAGGGTAGTAAGTATATTCGCTATGTGGGCATGCTTGACTTATTTGTAGTTAAGTATTCATTAATGTGGCATAAGTAATCTTAGTAATTTCCTAATAAATAAATACCTATTTCACCTCATTGCTTAAAAAAACACTAGAACCAGACAAGAAACTAAGGACAAATATAACAGGCTCACCAAAAGCACAAGTCACAGTACAAGCCAAACTTAGACTTTACAGTAATTATCAGGATATCAATAATTAACAGTTATTTAAATATGATTCCAGGAGTTTCTAGCTGTTAGAAACTACAAATAACCAGAGCACAGTATTACCAAAAACTGACTATGGAAGAACAATAGTGTATTGTTTCGGCTTCGTGTGAAATGAAGTTCACAGCTAGGTTACACAGACTCACTTAAACATCTGCATTTTCTGCTATCTTAACCTTTAAATCAACTGCAAAAGTAGCTGCCCAAAGCAGTTAGTAGGAAAGCATACTATTCTCAAAAGAACTTGGCATGTACAACCTTATTTTACTACTTAAATGTTTTTCTGATTACTGAAATTTGAACAAGATGTTAAAGATTCAAAACCAATTTTAAAGTAATAGGTGCTTATAAAATCTGTAATATTCCACATATTCAGGTTTTGTTTTTTTGTTTGGTTTTTTGTTTTGAGACAGGGTTTCACTATGCAGTTTAGGCTGGCCTTAAACTCACAGTGATTGGGGGCTGGGGATTTAGCTCAGCGGCAAAGCGCCTGCCTGGCAAGCGCAAGGTCGTGAGTTCAGTTCCTGGTACAGGAGAAAAACCAAAAAAAA